GACTGGGAGGGACTGGGGGAACTGGGAGTGACTGGGAGAACTGGGACTGGGGGAACTGGGAGGGACTGGGAGGGACGGGGGGATTGGGAGAGACTGCGAGGGACTGGGATGGAACTGGGAGGGACTGGGGGAACTGCGAGTGACTGAGAGAACTGGGACTGGGGTAACTGGGAGGGACTGGGGGGGACTGGGGGGGGATTGGGAGGGACTGCGAGGGACTGGGAGGGATGGGGGGGACTGGGTTGGACTGAGGGTAACTGGGAAGGACTGGGACAGGTTGGGGTGGACTGGGATGGACTGGAATAGGATGAGGTACCAGTGAATGGCACTGGGACCAGTATAGAACCATACTGGGAAGTACTGGGCCCAGCCTAGGGTGACACAGGGACTGGGACTGGGTGGCACTGGATGCACTGGGACCAGTACAGTCCAGTACTGGGAGAGCCTGGACCAGTATGAGCTGGTAGTACAACCAGTACAGGGTGACACGGGGACTGGGAGGCACTGGGACCAGTAGAAGCTGTACTGGGACCAGTACAAATCGGCACTGGGACCAGTGCAGGGTGACACAGGGACTGGGAGGCACTGGGACCAGTAGAAGGCAGTACTGGGACCATTTTAAGCCCATACTGGGACCAGTTTAAACCCATATTGGGACCAGTTTAAGCCGGCACTGGGACCAGTTTAACCCGACATTGGGACCAGTTTAAGCCCGTACTGGGNAGTTTAAGCCGGCACTGGGACCAGTTTAACCCGACATTGGGACCAGTTTAAGCCCGTACTGGGACCAGTTTAAACCCATATTGGGACCAGTTTAAACCCGTACTGGGACCAGTTTAAGCCCATACTGGGACCAGTTTAAGCCCGTACTGGGACCATTTTAAACCCCTACTGGGACCAGTTTAAGCCCATACTGGGACCAGTTTAAACCCATATTGGGACCAGTTTAAGCCCGTACTGGGACCAGTTTAACCCGACACTGGGACCAGTTTAAACCCATACTGGGACCAGTTTAAACCCCTACTGGGACCAGTTTAAGCCCATACTGGGACCAGTTTAAACCCATATTGGGACCAGTTTAAGCCCGTACTGGGACCAGTTTAAACCCCTACTGGGACCAGTTTAACCCGACACTGGGACTAGTTTAACCCGATACTGGGACCAGTTTAAGCCCATACTGGGACTAGTTTAACCCGGCACTGGGACCAGTTTAAACCCCTACTGGGACCAGTTTAACCCGATACTGGGACCAGTTTAAACCCCTACTGGGACCAGTTTAAGGCCGTACTGGGACCAGTTTAAGCCCGTACTGGGACCAGTTTCAGCCCATACTGGGACCAGTTTAAGCCCCTACTGGGACCAGTTTAACCCAATACTGGGACCAGTTTAAGCCCATACTGGGACCAGTTTAAGCGCATACTGGTTTAACCATTGCAGAGCAGCACCGCGCCCAGCAGGGGGCGCGCCGGCACCGCCGGGGGCGGGGCCACCCTGGGGACACCGCGCCCCAGCCAATGGCAGGAGCCCCGTCCCAGCGCCGGCCAATCGGCGCGCGGCACCTCCGCCAAGCCCCGCCCCCCCGCTCCCCCTCCCCTCGGGCAGCGCGCGGGACCGCACGTGCCCGGCGGGGGGCGTGGCCTGGGCTGGCGCGGCCCCGCCCCCTCCTGGCCTGGCCCCGCCCCCTCCCGGCCTGGCCCCGCCCCCTCCCGGCCTGGCCCCGCCCCCCGGCGGCTCCGGCGGGGGGGGAGGGGCGCGGGGGGGGAGGGGCCGCGTTTAACCCCGCGGTGCCCGGAGGGGAGGGGGAGGGGCGGCCTGTGCCGGGGGGAGGGGCTCCGGGGGGCGGGGATTGTGGGGGAGGGGCTCCGGGGGCGGGGCTTGTGGGGGAGGGGCTCCTCGCACCGGGGGGGAGGGGGATCCGCAGACCCTCCCCCACCCCCACCATCCTGCCCGGTCCTTGTACGCGGAAATTTGGGATTTAAATGGAGAAATTTGGGATTTGGAAAGGGAATTTGGGGTGTAAACGGGGGAATTTGGGGTTTAAATGGGGGAATTTGGGGTTTAAATGGGGAAATTTGGGATTTAATTTGGGGAATTTGGGATTTAAATGGGGTAATTTGGGGTTTAAATGGGGAAATTTGGGGTTTAAACGGGGGAATTTGGGGTTTAAACAGGGAAATTTGGGGTTTAAATGGGGGAATTTGGGGTTTAAACGGGGGAATTTGGGGTTTCTGGGGGGAAATTTGGGATTTGGAAAGGGAATTTGGGGTTTAAATGGGGGAATTTGGGATTTGTGGGGGGAAAGTCAGGGCTTATATGGGGAAATTTGGTTTTTGTGAGAGGAAATTTGGATTTGGACAGAGAATTTGGGATTTGTGTGGGGAGATTTGAGATTTCAACAGGGGAAATTTGGGGTTTAAACAGGGAAATTTGGGATTTGGACAGGGATTTGGATGAGGGAATTTGGGGTTTAAACGAGGAAATTTGTGGTTTAAAGGGGGAAATCTGGGATTTGTGGGGGGAAATTTGGGGTTTGTGTGGGGAAATTTGGGATTTGTGTCGGGAATTCGGGATTTAGATGAGAAAATTTGGGATTTAAATGGGGAAATTTGGGATTTGGATGTGGAAATTTGGGGTTTGGATGAGGAAATGTGGATTTGTGTGAGGAAATTTGGGGGTTAAACAGGGAAATTCGGGATTTGCACAGGGAAAACTGGGATTTGGACAGGGAAATTTGGGGTTTGGACAGGGAAATCTGGGATGTGCATGAGGACATTTGAGGTTTGGATGAGGAAATTTGGGGTTTAAATGGGGAAATTTGGGATTTGGAAAGGGAATTTGAGATTTAAAGGGGGAAACTGGGATTTGGATGAGGGAATTTGGGATTTGTGTGGGGAAATTTGGGATTTGTGTGGGGAAACTGGGATTTGGATGAGGGAATTTGGGATTTGTGTGGAGAAATTTGGGATTTGTGTGGGGAAATCTGGGATTTGGACGAGGGAATTGGGATTTGGATGAGGGAATTTGGGGTTTAAACGGGGAAATTTGGGATTTGGACAGGGAATTTGGGATTTTTGTGGAGAAATTCGGGATTTGCGCGGGGAATTCGGGATTTGGACGGGGAAATTTGGGATTTTTGTGGAGAAATTCGGGATTTGGATGAGAAAATTTGGGATTTAAATGGGGAAATTTGGGATTTGCACGCGGGGTCACGTGACCCCTTGCACGCGGACCCCCGCGGGGGGGGCGCCTGTCACGGGGTCACGTGACCCCCCGCGCCCCCCTCCCCTCCCACGTGACCCTCCCCCAGCAACAACGGCCGAGCCGCGCTCTGATTGGCCGGCGCCGCCGTGACGTCACGGCAGGGCGCGCCGGGCCCGTTGCCATGGCAACGCCGGGGGGGGGGGGGGGGGGGGGGGGGGAAGGCCTCGGAAAGGGGAATTTGGACCCAAAAATTGATTAAAATCACCCAAAAACTCGGCTTGGGGACGGCCGAGGGCTCCAAAAAAGCTGAATTTGGGCCCAAAGTTGAAGATTTTGTACTTAAAATTGAGGGATTTGGCCGTAAATACAAAGTTTTTGGCCTATAAATTAAATTTTGAACCCCCCAAAATGTGATTTTTTTTTTGTGCCAAAAGCAGGAAGTGTGACCTTAAAATTAATCATTTTGTCCCCCCAAAAAAGAGGTATTTGGCCCCAAAAGAGGTGTTTGGTAAAAAAAAATGAGTGATTGGGCACTGAAAATGAGGGGTTTTCGCCCCAAAAAGCAGGAATGGACATTTAAATGAGGATTTGAGCTTTGGGGTGAAAAACGGGGGGTTTATCCTTTAAAAAGGGTCTAAAAATTGAGGTTTTTAACTTTAAGAAAGGCGTTGGATCCTAAAGTTGAGAATTTGGACCCAATAGTGAGGGGTTAGACGCTGAACTGAGGCTTTGGCACAAAAAATGGGGTTTGAGACACGAAAAATCCGATTTTTCTACCCTAAAAAACTTTAAACCCCCTAAAAATCCTAAAAATGAAGCGCTTGGCCCCAAAACTTGCGTTTGAACCTTAAAACTGTGGATTTGTGACCTAAAAGTGAGTCTTTGCACCTGAAAGTGGAATTTTGGATCCTATAAAATAATTTACACTCTAAAACGAGGTTTTGGCCCTAAAAGTGATGCTCGAGACCCCAAAAATTCTATTTTTTGCGCCCAAAAGGGGGGTTTGAACCCTAAAACTGGAGGTTTTTCTCATTTAAAGTGGATTTTGGCCTCCAAAATCAGGGAAAATGAAGATTTGGAGCCCAAATTAATGATTTTGACCCTAGAAATGTGGGTTTGGAGCCCAAAATGAGGTTTTGAACACTGAAAATACAGACTTTACCTTAAAATTTGACAATTTGAGCCAAACAATAAAAAATCTTTGAAATGTAGAAAGGAAATTTGGACTTTTAGGGGTGTTTTGGATGCAGGAATTGGGGATTTATGTCCAGAACGAGGCTTTAACTTTTTGAATTTACGTTTTGGGCATAAAATGAGGGATTAGGGTTTAACATGAAGCCTTAAGTCATTAAAATAAACATTTTTCTCACTAGAACGGATCTTTTTTTTCCACACAAAAAAAAAGGTTCGGGGCCCTAAAAACGCGGATTTGGGTTGAAGTCGGGGCTTGGACAAAAATCGGCTTTTCCCGCCCAAAATCGACAGTTTGGCCCCAAAACCGCGAGGCTGGAAAGGGGAAATTTGGGCTTTTGGGGGGAAAAATGCAGATTTGGGGCCTCGGGTGAGCCCGGCCGGGCGGGACACGCCCCCCGCGCTGGCCCCGCCCCTCCGTCCAAGCCCCGCCCACCCCGCTGATTGACAGGAAGGGGGCGGAGCCAACGGCACAAAGCTGTCCAATCAGCGGCGGCCGCGCGCGCTGGCCCCGCCCCCAGGCACGTCACACAGGAAGCCCCGCCTCTCCGTCGCTGTGACGTCACTTCCGGTTCATCCGTGTTGCTGCGCGGGGAAAGCCCCGCCCCCTCTGCCGCGGGGGGCGTGGCCGAAGGGACCCCTTCCCATTGAGTGGGCGGGGCTTTCGTCGCGACCAATGGGAGGGCGCCATGAGCGAGCCCCGCCCCTTTCCGGGGGTGACGCCTCAAAGCCGCTCAAGCTCCGCCTCCCCCAGCCAAAGCCACGCCCATTTTGGGGTGGCCACGCCCATTTTGGGGTGGCCACGCCCCTGGGCAGCACCGCCTGACTCCGCCCACTTCAGGCCACGCCTCCCGGTTAAGCCCCGCCCACCCACACCGGGGGGGGGGTGTGTGTGTCAAATTGGGGCAAATTCTTCCCTTTTTGGGTCCTTCGCTCCCCTTTGCCCCGAGGGGGCGGAGCTCCAGGGAGGGGCGTGTCCTTCCCTTGGTGGGCGTGGCCACGCCCTGTTGGGGGGGGTCCCGCCCCTCCCCCACCCCTCACCCCTTGTAGTAGGCGGGGGGAGGGGCGGCCGGGGGGGGGAGGGGCAGCTCGCGCAGGGGGTGGGCGGGGCCGGGCCCGAGGGGGCGTGGCCTCGCCGGCCCCGCCCCTCCGCCCCCCCGCGGGCTCCTCGGGGGTCTCCGGGGGCGGCGGCGCCACCAGAGCGCCCCCCCCGCCCCCCCCAGCGCCAGCAGCGCCGCCCCGCCCCCCGCGCCCCAGAGCCCCGCCCACCCCCGCGCGGGGGGCGGGGCCGGCCCCGGCCGGCTCGTCTGATTGGCTGAACCTGGCGGGAGGGGAGGAGTCAGGGGCGGGGCCTCCGCCGGGCTGAGCCCCGCCCCCCCGCCCCAACCTTTACCTGTCCCGTC